CAAAAAAAACAAATGTGTGTATTCTGTGTGTGTGTGTGTGTGTGTGTGTGTGTGTGTGTGTGTGTGTGTGTGTGTGTGTGTGTGTGTGTGTGTGTCTGTCTTTCATTGGGGCAATCGATTCCATTTGACTGGATGGGAAAGACTACCCTTAGTATATGGGACTTTTTATTATGTAAGCATTGTAGAATTCATGTAAATTGATCCATGGTTAGGTGATATACAGTAGTTTGGGAATTCTAATATAAAATACTTTAGATATGCTTATGAGAGGAAACAAATTCCCTAGCCTAATCATAATAAAATGGGCTTCCCTCCCCACAAACCAAGAGATTAATTTATCTAAATGTCTTCAATCTACAGAGGCAATAGAAATTTGAGGTTTGCCAAATTTCCAAGAACCCAGCCATGTAAAGAATAGCAGTCTCACTCTTTGAAAACCAATATGCTCTTGAAATGTTTTCTAGGATACCTCTGCCACAGTAAAAGGACAGGAACTTACTTAAAAATACAATTAGAATCTCAAAATTCTGTTCTCCCTACCAACTCTTTCAAAGATTCCAAAAGTTCTATGAGCTTGTCAACGTTTTCCAATGCTTCAACAGCAAAATCAATTCTGCTCAGGCTGAAGATAAGAATTCTTAAAGTAAGGAATCACAGCCAAACATAGTGTACTGCCTTACATTAAGCAATGATCTGGGCTCTGGACAATCTTTTAGACCCCAAACCAGGTTGATCACCGGAATAATCTTTTAAGACCATTGAAAATTGTAACATTCACAGCTTATTTTTATGAAAAGAGAATTTCTGAATGTTTACAGACAGTTCTCTTTGCCACTATAGTCGTATTACTTAAAATCCCAGTGCAACAGACCTATACAACATTCCTTCAACGTTTTCCTTTATACACTCATTCATTCATTCATTCATTCAATGTATATGTCACCATCTCACTACCCAAAGCAAAATACCCAAATACAACCCATGGAAGCCCCAGCCTTGCATTTACACCCCCCATACCCTTGCAAACATGTCATGAAAAAGAAACTAGAAGGATTTGCTGTACACTCTAAACTAAGCAGAGTTTATCATTGTAATAACGCCAGTTAGTTTTAACAATAGGGCATTGTAAGAGCCAGGACTGTAATCCATTTTGTTCCTGGCTTCTTTGAATAAATTTTAACCAATATTAAGCAATGCCTCCTCTTTCTGAATGGAATCCTGAGCGTTTAGTTACTTAAAACCTGGACCCAAATGCTACGATCACCTTTTGCAGCCGTGTCAGGAAGGAGGGGGCAGGAAGGAGATGATGGCTTGTTCACACTGGACTATTGTTTAGTGTCATATCCAAAACAGATCAATGGCTATAAACATGACAGGAGCTTAAAGACTGTAATTTACATGAAGTGTATTTAGTTAAGGGAGAAATTCACAGCAGTATAAGAACATGGTTTCTAATCCTTAGGCCAGCAAACATATAGATGCATTATGGGATTCCCTCCAGATATCCACTGGGCAGAAAAAATGAGAAGCATTACCACTGATCTCCTCAAACACAGATAATCCTTGACTTACAACAGTTCATTTAGTGACCATTCAAAGTTGTAACGGAATTGAAAAAAGTGACATGACCGTTTTTCACAACCGCTGCAGCATCCCTGTGGCCCGTGATCAAAATTGGGATGTTTGGCAACAGGTTCAATGTTTATGAATGGCTGCAGTGTCCCGGGGACACACGATCATCCTTTGCGTTCTGACCAGCCCAAAGTCAACAGGGAAGCCAGCTTCACCTAACAACCGTGTTATGAATTAAACTGCAACGATTCACTTAACAACTGGGGCAAAACTCACTTAACAAATGTCCCACTTAGCAACAATTTGGGCTCAATTGTGGTCACACATCGAGGACTACCTGCACTTGTCCTGAACAAAATCAGCAAATATGCACATTTCTTTGTCTAACTGGCTGAGATGGGGAGATTCAGGATTAAGGAGAGAAACGTGGTCACCTCGGGGTTTTTTTTGCTTATCTGCTTGAAAAGGCATGGCTTACTTTGCACTTCCAGAAGTCTGTGGGGAGGCTCTCAATAGCAGGATTCAAGCAGTAGGTGTGGTAGCATTTTTCACAGGCTTCGCACACTAGCATCTTGCTGTCCTCACCAGACAGCCTGAAAGGAAGAGACATCACACATCCCAGTCAAACCAACGGGTCCTCATCCTCAGTCCTTCCTGAGGTACTCGGCATGTGCCGAGGGCCTTCACACGCACCTGCAGGTTTGGCAAACCTTGCATTCATGACACTGCCAGCCCGAGCGTTTCCGCGGTGTTACTGTGATCTCCAAGCAGGTGCCATGATAGTGCAAGCCACAGCTAGTGCAGAAGAGCAGGTCGCGAAGTTCCCCTGGGGCATCACACACCATGCAGCGTGAATCCTCTGCAGAAAGAAAAGAAGTCGGACTGAAAAAACCACTTTAAAAAAAAGATACTGGGGTGAATTCCTTCCCCATTAATCCAAACCCTCTCCTTAGAGCCAAATCCAGAAACACCACATTCACACTCTGGACTTCTCTTGTTCTAATCCTTTTGTGTCAACTGTACCCATTAAAGTGACTTCTATTTGGCTCTAGACAATTCAAAGGGTAGATTCTGTCATAATCCTGCAAAGACTTACCCATCTGTACAGCCTGATCAAGATGCTCTGGACACAGAAGTTTCAAACTCTTCATGGATTGGAAGCAGCCACTAGCCGCGGCACAGGGGAAGTGATAGTGGCGCTGGCACCCTTCTGCGTGGCATGGAATAGTAGCACCCTGCCTTTTACAGTGTTCACATTTCTGAAAAAAGCAAGGTAAGGTTATAGCTAGCGGGACAAAAGCACTATTCCTGCATAGAAAAGTAGCAAAAAAAGAGGCAGAAATGTGTCCCATACCCAGTGATGAAATCACTGTGGCCAGGTTGTGTTTAAGGAAGTATGAGTTGTAAACATAATTTAGAATAATACTATTATTATTTCACTTTAGCCACGGCTTATAAAATGTGAACTAAAGACATTCTGCAGACTGGGGATTAGAACACATTACCAATCTTCTCCTTGGCGTTTATTAATTGAATACAAAAAGGAAACACATGAACAAAAATTAAAAAGATTATAGCATTTTAAAAAAAGATGGGCCAAAACATATCTCTACAAGTATGTATGCTACATATGCATTTTAATGAATGATAACCATATTCCATCATTATCATACATAGCTAATCTACATTGGTAAGGGGTTTATTCATAAGTTACTAATGACATCAACTCAGCAGACCATAGTGTAGTTTCCAACGCAGAATAAATAGTGCATGGAGAATCCAGTTTATTTGCCCAGATGTCAATTTCTACGCAGTAGGAATATGAATATCTGAAAATTAAATCTTGCCTCAAAGATGAATTACATGTAACAACTTCCTCCAAAAATGGAACAATTACAGGATATTGGATGTATATTTGAATTAAACAACATATCTTACTACATTTTCAACCTAATGATTTATATAGCTTTTTCTATATAAACACTGGAGACCTGTGGAATCTAATAAATTTCAAATATTATTGTTGGTTGCAGAAATATAATCCAATATCTTTTTGAATGATGTTAAGGTTGTTTGGTGTTAACACTGCAAAGAAAGGAATGTCAATTCTTTATTCTAAATTGGTTTACTACAACAGAATTTTATAAAGAATAATTGTAGAAGAGTAATAAATGTTCGTAGTCGAATGAGTATTTCCAAGGCCAAAAATGCTGCAGGTGCAAACAGGAATGTCGGTAAATGTTGTAAATATTGCCACTGAATCATATTGGGCAGATAATATTTGTCCTTTAAATAGAACATGATAATTCAATTCATCATTTTCATCTAATTAACCTATAACATAAAATGTTAGCCCCAATCCAAATTTTCTGCATGATTGAGAATTTTTTAAAATTAATTTCAAAACCTCAATTATTCAGTCTTAACCTAAGATGAATAAAAGCATCCAAAGGTCATTTTCTATAAATAATGTAGCAGAATCTTCAAATTGATGTAATAATAAGAGAATCTATTTTATATCTATTATATTTATATCCCAGAGCATTCCAATTAAGTAAGGGTATAATGTACGAATATTATAGGGACACAAGGAGAATTTCCACCAGGGGGAGCCATCTAAAACTTGAGGTTAGCTAAGAGAAATGCAAGATGCAGTTCAAGATTTGGAAAACCAAATCCCTCCTTTTTAATTATCTATTTATCATCTATCTATCTATCTATCTATCTATCTATCTATCTATCTATCTATCTATCTATCTATCTATCTATCTATCTATCTATCTAGATCTACTATCTGAAATTGAAAGATTCCTCCCTTAAAAATTTATAAAGCAGTATCTCAATTAAAAAATATATTTTAGGGACAATATAGGAATTCTATGCAAAATGTATAATATTCTAAGAAATACATTCAAAGGATAAAATTTAGATCCTGTCATCTATCAAGATCTAAAGATATTTATTTATATTTTTTATTTGTGTTTATGAGCAAAATATCACATGGAGTAAGAACTCTGATAGTTTATATATTTATTTGTTGGTTCAAATTATGTAAGTTATCAAGTTGAAACGGAGTCAATATAGTTATTGGAAAATGAAACTGATCAAATTAACAAAGAGATTTAGCATCAATTCCAACTTGGACCAATTAACTACCATATTTTTCGAAGTATAAGACGCACCTTTCCCCCCACAAGAGGGTGAATATCTCGGTGGGTCTTACAGACTGAATATAGCATTTTTTGGCCTCCTGAAACCCCACCCCGCACATCCCATTTTTTGCAAAAATGGACGTGCAGAGGGTTTGGAAGGCCGGTAGAGTGCTCCTGGGGGCTGGGGAGGGCAAAAACGCAATGCGTGGGGGTTTGGGGTGTGGAGAGGGTTTGGGAGGCCTGCAGAGCTCTTGGGGAGGGCAAAAATGAGCAAAAAAACAGGGTGTGCATAGAGTTTGGAAGGCCTGCAGAGTGCTCCTGGGGGCTTGAGAGGGCAAAAATGTTTTTTTTTAATTTACCTCTTCAAAATCTTGGTGTCTTTTATAAGAAAAAGAAGGTAGGTATTCTGCTATTTCCCCATACACATTTATTAAATATTAATAATTTAATAATTAGGCTAGAATTGAGGTTTGTGATACAGATATAAATAATAAAACATCACAATACAACATTAATTTATATTCTAAGGAATTATTATATAAACCATAAATACTGTAATGTCTAATAGAACTAAGGGTTTGAAAGAAGTATTTAAAGTTAAAGGGGAAAGATGTTCTTATCTCTTCCCTTTGCACTCAATGAAAAAAAAATCCATTAACTTTCACTCAAAATATAGGTGTAGCAGAATCCAGATTAAATTTATAAATTCTTTACACAATCCAAATTTAGCTAGTTGAAATGTTAGCTGAAAATACAATGGCTGTAACTTTTAAGAGACCTTTCTAGCCCCCAATGATACAGCTGCAACTCTACCCTATCACGATTTTAAAATTATTAACTATTTCAGCCTATGCCATCACAAGACATTGCATGAAAATTCTCAATACAAGCTGCAAGATTCCAGTCTGCTTCCAGGATGGCCAATGGTAAAGATATTACCCCAAAAAACCCTCAAAAACCAGGAAGATACCAGATGCCCGACTTCTGAGTTGGTATAGGTTAGTTCATCTAAAATTCATCTACAGTACTAAGAAACTACCCAAAGCTGATAAATGGCTTATTGCCACCTTATCTGTTTTCCAGGCTGCATGAAATAAAAAAAAGTATGGATGTTCATCCTAATTATTCTTCAAACAATTCCCAGAATCTGGCATTTTCAGATCTTTTTGCTTCAAAAGAGAATAACACTCTTTTGATGAAAGCTTGGAAGCATTAAAAAAATCCAGGATATTGTTATTATAACAAGTGAACTTGCATACATTCAACAAAATCTAGTTCCAAGTTCAGTTTCATTTTGGAAAGGGTGAACATGTAAGGACACAATTTGCTGGGGCAAGATTGTTGGCGGGAAGAGTTGAAAAGTTAAGAGAACGAGCAATTCTACTTGATTTGTTCACCTGACTCCGATATTGCACTCACTCCTCCTTTAGTAACTATCTCAACCTTAGTGACCATTCGCAAATATGTTAATTAAAAAAAAATCATTTTCTGACTAATGTGCATTTATGATATGTGCATTTATGATAAAATTGTATGTGCCTGAAACAATGCATGCTGGAGTAAGAAATAATACTGGAAAATCTGCACAACAAGCCTTTATCTGAATCAGATGGTAGCAACCAATGATCTTCATAGCATCTCTCTCTCGCACATATTCTGGCTTACATGTTCACTTTGCAACCATTTTGCCTAATGATCTGGAACTAAGTTGCTAAATCAGGGGTGACAAACTTGATTTCACTGAGGGCCACATGAGGGTTGTGTTTGACTTGGGGGGGGGGGCATGGCCAGCTCAACATCACTTGTGTCAGAGGCACCTGTGGTGACCACAAGCTCCATTTTCATCGGCAGAGGCACCATGGGCCAGTCCATTGCTGTTCTCAGGGAGGCTCTGCAAGCCAGATCTAAGCACCCCCTGGGCCGGATCTGGGTCCTGAGCCTTGAGTTTGATACCCCTGGGCTAAATGAAGAATGGGTATATTCCTTTCAAGTCTTCATTTTTAGACAGCACGGCGAATTCAGTTGAATTCAAAGAGGATTTGTATTTGAAGAGAAGGATGTTATATTATGAGAAGACAAATTTAATTATCATAGAATGTAGCAACAAGTGGTAGGAAAAAAGGAACCCATTCTGATTTTGATCCCTTCCTTAATGGCAAATGTTAAAAACCACCTAAAGTTCTGATTCCCAGTATAACCTAATCCTAACCTAAAAAAATTGGAAGTTTTTTAGAAGAGATTGGACAACCATTTGTCTGAAATAGCAATAGCAGTTAGACTTCTATACCACTTCATAGGGCTTTCAGCCCTCTCTAAGCGGTTTATAGAGTCAACATATTGCCCCCAACAATCCGGGTCCTCATTTTACCCACCTCGGAAGGATGGAAGGCTGAGTCAACCTTGAGCCGGTGAGATTTGAACAGCCGAACAGCCGAACTGCAGAACTGCAGTCAGCTGAAGTAGCCTGCAGTGCTGCATTTAACCACTGCACCACCTCGGCTCTTCTAAATGGTATGAAATGGTATAGGTTTTGCTGCCTGGCAGGGGATTGGACTAGAAGACCTCCAAGGTCCCTTCCAACTCTATTATTCTATTCTATTCTATTCTACTCTGTGTATAAAGACATGTTCTGAGGATTACATTATGCATTTCAGAAGAGTATATCTATTTCTTGTTTCTTTGAGTTGAAATACAGGTACTCATCAACTTATAAGCATTCGTTTAACGACCATTCAAAGTTACAATGATGCTGAGCATACAACTGGTCCTCACGTTTAGGACTGTTACAATATCCCTGAAGTCACATGATCAAAATTAGGACACCTGGCAACTGACGTGTATTTATGATAGCATTGTAAATGGGGTCATGTGATCACCATTAGCAACCTTCCCAGGGGGCTTCTGACAAGGAGAGCAATGGGGGAAGCCAGATTTGCTTAAACAACTACATGATTTGCTGAAGAATCATGACAATTTGCTTAGCAATCATGCATAACTCACATAATGACTGGATTGCTTTGCGACAGCTATTCCAGCCCCAATTATGGTCACACGTTAATTGGTTTGACTGTACTGATGGTACATGATACTGCATCCTGTGGAACCCCTTTAACGAAGAGTCTGCAAAGGTCTTTCCTTGTTCACTCGCAATTAGCAAGAACCCTCCCTCCCTCCACCAGGACAGACCTGTGCAATCCCTGAGATGACAGCTTTGTTCACAAGGCTCAGCCACGACCCTTCTGCACGTACAACTCCAGCTGACCACACCACACACCAATGATGAGCCCAGAAGTGCCCTGGAAAAGAAAAGCAAATAGAACAATAGGTAAATGCAAAGATTAACCTTCCCTTGTGATATTAAGAAATTCATCCAAGGAGAGGGACCTATGGTTTGAGGTACCTGATAAGCAGAGGTGGTATTTAGCTGGCTCGGATTGGTTCGAGCGAACTAGTAGTGGAAATTTTGAGTACTTCTGAGAACCGGCAATATCACTTCCGGTTGGCCCAGCCCTCCTGTCCCCCTCCCAATGTTCCCTGTCCTATATTCCCTTGGTTTTTAGCTCAGCTGATTCACGTGGCAGAGCAGATTGCCGCGCCTTAGCTGAGCTAAAAAAACAGCTCAACTCCCCAGCGCTGACACCAAGGGTGGTCTTTGAGTACTGCATGCGCACGAAGCGCAAGCGTGCTCTGATAGAAGCAGTAGGAAAAGATTTGGAATCCCACCACTGCTGATAAGGTAGACAATTTGGAACGAACAAGAGAGATATAACTGAAGAGGAGAAATGTGTTATTCCAAGATCTGCTGCTACACTATACAACCAATTTCATTGTATTTAAGTACAATGACAATAAAGATTATACTTATACATTTCCATTCAGGAATTACCGTTTCAAAACCAGAGTTATTCAGAAACAGTTGCCGTTCCCAAACCTTTTCCCCAAAACTATTGACGGGAACACAGGTGAGGGGAGAAATTTAGAAGTGGTTTTATGAAAGTATTGAAAGCTTGGTTCTGGCGTGGGAAAGAAGGCTCCTGGGACTGAGTATATTCTGCTTCTTTAGACATGGTTCCAAGTCCATTATTTGCCATCCGAGTCCAGTATGGAGGCCATGGATTCAATTTAATTGGAAGCTGACACTGTCAGGCCTCCCTCTCTTTACCTGACTTACCTACACACACACACACACACACACACACACACACACACACACACACACACACGAAGTAGGAAAAGGAGAGAGGGAGGGAGAAAATAAAAGTTAAGAAGCTGCAAGAACTGCCATTCCGTTTTACTGATAGCATTTTACACATAGAGACAAGACGGGAGTTTTCAATGGATAATAAGGAGCCTCCTGTGTTACAACTGAACTGCTTCACAGCGAATAGACGAACCAGGCTTCCCCACACCTACCACTCACCTGTTGGCTCAAACACCTCCCTTGCTGACACACTGTCTGCAAAGCCAATCAGGGTGAGATCATCATTTCCAGCTTCTGTAGAGGCAGGCTGCTTCCCTTCTGGCAAATCAGAAAGGTCCGCTGTCCAACCAGGTGCAGGATCAAATCGCAGCAGTTCTCGCTGTCCGTGCAAACTCCACTTGCTGCAGTTACAGAACGCACAGCGTTTGGGTGGGAGGCTGAGGGAGGCAAGCAGAGAAGAAGGAGGGGGGGGGGAACTCTCATCACTGCGAAGGAATGAAAATCTCTCCCATTCCATAAGCAACCAAAACACCAAGCCTTCTTAAGAGGAGCCATCCAGATCAAAATATCTATGGGATCCCACCAACTCCCATAACACAAAAAACACTCCAGGCTTCTATTATCCCTGGTACAGCTTTGTATAACTTTAGTGCTCTCTGAGCTTGGTGCCTTTCTTGCAGGCGTTTAATTATATCTGCAAAACAAAAAAACAAAAAGAAATCACCCCACCAAGCTTGGAGAGCACCAAGAACTCTGTAGTTCAATCCTGAACTAGAAATGGCCTCTGCTGACAGAACCATTCAGTGCTATAGTGCAAGCAAGGTCCTACAAACCTCAGGTTGAACCTCTGGCATTCATCCAGGCTAATCTACCTCCTAGGTTCAGAGTTAATCAATGAGCCAAAAACTACACTGCTTGGTTTTAAACAACTTCTCACCTGCAAGTCTGGAGTAATTCCTCTTTAACATCCACCGTGTCCAATACTTCTCTCACAAGGCCTTCTTCTGGCGGCTTCAGAGGATCAGCTTCCACACTGCCCTGCTCTTCTGTGGACACAATTCCATCTGCTGCTGCAAAATAGCAATAGCAGTAGCAATAGCAATAGCAATAGCAATAGCAATAGCAATAGCAGTAGACTTATATACCGCTTCATAGGCCTTTCAGTCCTCTCTAAGCGGTTTACAGAGACAGCATATTGCCCCCAACAATCTGGGTCCTCATTTTACCCACCTCGGAAGGATGGAAGGCTGAGTCAACCCTGAGCCGGTGAGATTTGAACCGCTGACCTGCTGATCTAGCAGTAGCCTGCAGTGCTGCATTTAACCACTGCGCCACCTTGGCTCTTCTGTTAAGACTCTGATGTGGCACCCTGGTATAAGACTCATGATTTCTGCCACATTGCTCTGAAGATGTCAAAGCATATGGGAATCTTCCTCCAAATCAGCAAGTTCAGTATCTATTTCAATGAATCTTGACAAATAATGATGGACATTCCCTTACTTCAGGGCTGAGTTCAGGGTTCAGTTTCATTGAGGGCCGCATCAAGGTTCTGTTTGACCTCCAGGGGGTCGGGATAGGCGTGGGCAACTCGATGTCACTCATGGCGGCCCAAGAGCTCTGCCAATGAAAACGGAGCGGCCCTTGCAAACTCCCTTTTCAGCTGCGTCAGTGAAAACGAAGCTCAGGAAGGCCGCATGCAGCCCTCCCTAGCTGACTTAGATCAAAGGTCTACTTTTTGCAAACTTGGAACATCTAAACCTTTTGACATTTTACTTTTGAAAGAGAACAGCCATCCCTGAAAATTCTAACATGAACAGCACCCTTCTATTAAAGTAGACATAGACCAGGGGTGTCAAACTCAAAGCCCGTGGGCTGCATTGGGGCCGTGGGGTGCTTAGATCTGGCCCATGGGGCCGGTCTGGAAATAGCAAAGAACCAGCCCACAGTGCCTCTGCTAGCAAAAATGGGGTGCAGGCAGGGCACCACCGCCACCCCCGCAACCGCTTTTGGCCTCCAGAATGATCCAGGAGGCATTCCAGGCCCAAAACAAGGCCTCCAGAGTGATGCAGGAGGTTGTCCAGGTCTAAAATGGGGCCTTCAGAGTAGTCCAGGAGGCTGTCCAGGCCTAAAACGGGGCCTCTGGAGTCCTTCCAGGCCCAAAACGGGGCCTCCGGAATGGCCCAGGAGGCATTCCAGAGTGGTCCAGGAGGCCATCCAGGCCTAAAATGGGGCCTCTGGAGTCCTTCCAGGCCCAAAATGGGGCCTCCAGGGTACTGCAGGAGGCCGTTCTTGACTCAGGTTATAAAAGGGAGAAGTAAAATATTTTATCTTTCAGGCTTGCAGGATTTTGCTACAAGCCCATTGCAATAATTTATAGTTGTAGTCTTCCTATGGAGTCAATTTCTTGAGCTGGTGTCTCTTTCATAAGGTGATCAAGTAGATCAAGTAAGTATTAAAAAACAAAAAAACAGAAATGTACACCTCCCTATTTTTAGAATTTTATAAAACCATGTCTGCGGAGGTGCAGTCCATGTCACGCCCACCATGGCCACGCCCACCCCACACACTCACCCAGCCCTCCAAGGTCAAATCCAATCCTAATATGGCCCTCAATAAAATTGAGTTTCACACCCGACATAGACAATCTCAAACTCATAGACACAACCCAACCAACCAATCACCCCGGTTTGACACTACTGGCACCTCCAAGAACATTTTGCTGATACCCAGCAGCAAATTATCAAATAAAATTATTTCTGGAATTTCCCAGTGGAAATTAAGGGAGAAATAAAGTTTGCTAAACCTCTGATAAGCTGAATGCCCCTTGGGAAAAACAACAGGTAGTAAGTAGCCTAAACAGCCTGTCCCTGTACAAAAGCATATTAAGAATCTACTCATCAGAACTGGTCTGGAGGTGAAACTAACTGAATTCTATTCAAGCCAGTCAAATAATTTGAGAATAACTGTTAATCACTGCAGTTTACTCTTAACAGGGGAAAAGCATACATCATTTTCAACTGTCATTTTTTCAGTATCGAAGTATAAAGCAGGTTGTTTATTTTCTTCAGCCTAAAATATGCCCCCCTCACCATGTCATCTCCCAACTATTTGGCTATGCTAGAAAGCGGATTAACTGTAGTCCAAGAGATACGTAAATGTACCCTCTTCATAAGCACAAAATTGTTGCTGACAGCCGAGTGAGCTCAGGTATTAGTCAGAGCGAAGTGGTCATTTCTGTTGGACAGCAAATCTTGGCCCCATAACCTACCCTCTAAACTAGCCTGTGGTCCTCAGGTATGATACATGCTTCTGCCATTTTGCCAGCATCGAAGAAAATTTCTGACTAGCCACTGTAGGTGTAATTTGGAGGAGGATGTCATTTGTTCTATAACTGCGGCTGGTATGTTTTCTAAATACTACTATCCACCCACCTTCATGCTGTGTGATGTAATATATCTGCCTAAAACTGCTCATCAAGAGAAAAGACCAAAATGGGCATACCTACCTGGTGTATCAGAGCATTTGTCCTCACCAGGTGGTTTCTGATCATCCATCCTGTCTCAAAGAGACCTAGAAAACAGAAAAAACAGCTCATTTCACTTTCTTTCATCAGTTCCATTAAGAAGCTGTTTTAATTTACGCTACACACTTTGTGCTGCTATTGGATGGAGCGTTAATGCAGCAAGGCGGATGTTTCAAATCATTTTTCCTTACACTGTGTGGATCGCTGGGAGCTGTTTAGTTGCATTAAGGTGTAAGTATAATAAATACATTCATATAATAGGGCTATGTTAACACAGGCACATGGTTATGTCAGGCATTTTATAGCCACTTGTTTTCTAGTCGACTGTCTGAATGAGGAAGTAAAGATACGAAACAAAGATTGGCATGAGCTTGGGACTAGGGTAGCATTCCTTGACCTGGAGTTCTTGTTAGTTGTGATAACTACAACCCCCTTGTTCGCTGGCATGCTTGGCTGCCATATTCAGGAATTGCAGTCTCGCACATCTAGAGGGTATCAGATTGAGGAAGGCCGGGCAACAGCATAAGTAGTGTGACAAAGAACAACAACTCTGGGGGAACAAATAGGAAGATCAGGTCACTGACCTCTCTGATATTGAAAACCCCGATCAATGACATCTAAGCATACCTGGGTGCACATTACCAAAAATAGTACCAATTTCCAGGACTTTTGCCAGGGTTCCCCCCTCCCCTAATAATTCAAAAGGGGTAAACGTCTGTTCTGAATCAAAGAACAATTGGATCAGAGTTGCCTGGGATTAAGAACGCTGGAAGAGAATGTTCTCCTTTCAATAATTAAGGCTTGCCCTAATATGCAGCTGTAGTTGATACAAATGGTGGGCTACAAACTCAGTACGGATAGTGCTCGATTTACAACAGTTAGTTTAGTGACTGTTCAAAGTTACAACGGCATTGAAAAAAGTGACTTAGGACCATTGCAGCATCCCAGTGGTCATGTGATTTACTTTCAGATGTTTGACAACTGATTCATATTTATGACAGTTGCAATGTCGCCCAGGGTCATGGGATCCCCTTTTGTGACCGTCTGACAAGCCAAGTCAATGGGGAAGCCAGGTTCACTTAACAGCCGTGTTACTAATATAACAACTGCAGTGATTCGCTTAACAAATGTGACAAAAAAACTTGTAAAATGGGGCAAAACTCACTTAACAAATTTCCCACTTAGCAACATAAATTTTGGACTCAATTGTGGTCATAAATCAAGGACCACCTTTATAGTTATTCTATCCTAATCAACATAAGCGTTAATAACCCCATCCCTTAAACCTTACTTATGGCAACTCTCAAGTTCAAACATTTATGTTGAAAGAAAAATACCATCACAGTTTAGTATCAAGCAGCCGTGTCCAACCTGGGCATTCTTCAATTGAAGCTCTGAAAGTGTCCCGATTGGGGAAGGGTGGTATAAAGGTTAGCATATCCCAGGCAAGAGTAAAATCTTTATGCAATTAGATGTATTTTTGAATTTAGTGTTCAAATTCTAAGGGTTATAGAAGTAATATGTTCATTCTTAGTGTGCTGAGATATTTATCATTTTATAACAATGTTATAATTGTAGGGCATTGTAATAAGCATTAACACAAACATCCACTGTGTGTAACACAGCATATTTATTTTGATATTCTTGCTACTAGATGTCAAGTGCAAATGAAAACTTATAACCCCTGCTTTTAATATTACAACTTTTGGGCTTTTTAAAGTGCATTATAAAATCAAATACAAATCAAATATCTTAAAAACTACTAGACGAGAGAAATCTCACGCTCAAAGGATTGTCAATGGTACAGGGGGGAAAATAGGTTCCCCACCTTTTCTTAACGTTTAATTTATGAGCTTCAGCCATAAAACAAGACTTCACAACTTTGTATTAAGTTCCTTGTATGATAGTGGCAGTTCCAATCTTGCAGGAGGAGGCTGTGTATGAAGCAGGGAGGCAAACTCGACGGGTCCAAATGAATTTTCCTAGTAAATTCCTGGAGCTCTCGAATGAGCAACTTCTCACGAAGGTTTTGAGTCAGAAAACTGGGCATGCTCACTGCCAGGGGGCGGAGCCCAAAGAGCTTATCTGACTCAAACCAATCACGAGAGGATAAGGTCAAACCCCATTCTGGATACTCCTCCCCCCTCACTATGGAGAATAACATTACTCTGCAACCAACACAAAGATACATAAAACTGCAAATGGTATATACCCAAGCTCTAGGAAGGCAATTCTTTTATTTATTTACTAAAAATTATCTCTATATTATTTTTGAGGAGAATACTCCACATCCACCCAAGAATTGGCTACAGGGAACAAGTATCAAGAGAGAGAAAACAACTGTGCATTTTTAAAAACATACTAAAAATAATAATCTAGGAATCTTCCCAAATGGCAGTAGGTAATAACAGCCTTATGGGAAGAAAAGAAAGCAGCCTAGCTAACAGGCTTCTGAATGTAATTTATTGTAACTAGGTTTCTCAGGTGGATTTTAAATAATATACCATATTTAATAATAATATATATTACAGTAATCCTAATAGATTATGTTTGTCTTTGCCTTACAACATCTCCAGCTTTTAGTACAAGAATATGAGATAAATCCAAATATATACAGTTTTCCAAAGCAGAAATTTGAAATTTTCAGTCCTAAAACTCCCAAATGCTAAACACAAAATTACAAGTGAAAGAAGTTTAGATCACACTATTTCCACAAAAAGAAAAGTATAGAATAATGGAAAAGAGATCACTAAATTCAACAGAGTAATCTCACAAATTTGTCTTCTGGAAAATGGAGGTACTATAATTGGGTGTGTTCTCCATGGCAATTTTGTGAAAATGCTCCATGTATTGCCATCAAAATTCCATATGTTCCCATTGACTGAAAAATATTGTGAATTGTACATTTTCACAACATGCGAACAGAGTAAGTGAAAAAACCAGTTTGTTTTAAGAGTCTAAGTTGTTATTGTCACCCTACTGATTGCAATCATAGTTAACTATTTGGGTGATGGGTAAATATAGCATGCATTTTATAGGTTTCCTGGTTTAATCCCAATTTATTTTTGAATCTTGCCCAAACCTGAAATGTTAAAAACATGGGAACTAAATCAGAAATACTGCTCCTGCCAGACTGAATCTGGTTTGTTTAATGAAGTGTGTCCTGGTTTAAGTTATGATATCAGGTTGAGCATAGAAATAGAAAAACCACAAATGACTTTACTTAGGCATGCTGCACGTTTTTATACAGGACCTTTAAATGGTGCATTGACCAAACTGATTGCTCTAGTAATAGCAGGATGGTCTCTGAAGGTCACTTTCAGGTAATTTATGGGAACATACCTATCAGGGTAAATGGAACCCATTTCCTCATCCTCTTCTTGTTTGCCATAACAAATAGGCATGATTCTTATTTACTGAAGGGACATTAATTTGAGAGCCGCAGACACTGATTCTTAGTTTATTGGTCACATTTGTCAGAATGTATTTGGCACTGGTTTGGGATTTTAGGAGTTTTAATCCAACACACAGAATGTCATATGTTTCTGCTGATCTTTCTGACTTTTAACATTGTTAGCTTTTTGCCTACCATTTCTCCATCATTCTAAGCCTTCAAAACACTGTCTATCACCTTAATATATCTTTTACTTTATGGGGCAGATGGTCATGCTTCTAAAGAATTTTGTAAGAATGCTTAGGTCATGTACATAAAGATGATGCTCAAAAACAGGCATGTTGCTTTACAGCAATACTATTGTATCGTTTAATTTTAAAAATAGGAATATAAAATCAGGTGGTCCAGGAATGCAAGTTGGGAGCTACACCAAAAAGCTAACAGGCAACAACTAACTAATCTTTATTGGTTTAAAAATTCCCAAGATCTCTTATAAGAGCATAACATTAAACTTAATTTATGGAGAATGAAAAGCTATTATTAAATTGTGCCCAAATGTGATCAAGGCTATTGAATTTCATTCCATATTTTAACTCTTCTGTACTCTTCTCTAATTATTGCTTCTAAAGTAGATTCTGCAATCCCAACCAAGGAAAATTACCTCAAGGCAAAACCATTCACAAGCAACTGGTCAGTTTAAGACAGCTTCCATTCCTACCTCCGAGAGATAACAAATAATGTAGCTCTCATTCATTGCTATAATCTAGGAAAGCGACACCTGCCTCACAACCATCCTTCAAAACAATAATTCCCAATGGAAGAACTGCCTCGTTAAGGGGACAGGAAGAAGCCATCCATTATCAGGAAGAGGTGGGCAAAGCTGTACAAAGTCTTTTGGCACTTATACAGACTGACTTCAACTCAGAAACACAGAAAGCAACAAAAAAAAAATATTTCAGCTGATGTTCCCCCTAAAAGAGGCAGGGATAAGAAAGAGCAGGAGACAAAAGGCAGTCCAAAACTGTAGAAAAAGCAGGGATCCCAACATCCTGGCTGCACCAGGAGGATATCTACCACCAAATGAAGATCTGAGAAACTAATGGCCCTGGAGACCATCTCCATTGATGCTTTTTTTTCTTTAGCCATTTTGGTTTGACTATAAGAAATAGACTCCAAGAAACATTCTTCATTAAAAACCATGGCTCAGAAGATACAATAAGATATCGGACTTTCATCTTTATCAGGCCTTTAAGGACTTCAGCAGATATCAGTGTTACATTCAAGGTTAGTATTGTAATTAAAGAGTCAATATGGTGAGGTGGTTAAAGGCACTTAGCTAGAAACCAGAACAATGGGAGTTCTAGTCCCACCTTAGACACAAAGCCAGCTGCGTGATGATGGACCAGATACTTACTACTCTCAACACAAGAAGATAGCAAAGGCAAACCATTTTTGAAAATGCTGCTAAAAAAACTACAGAAACTTCTTTCATGTTGTTACTAGGAGTGAAGACGACTTAAAAGTGCATATACGGACAGACACATACACACAAAAGGAAGAAAATTAGCTTTTTAAGTGGTGTAAATAATATGCAAAGCACAGAAGCACCCTAATGCCAAAGAGCCCTACTGTGTAGTGATCTGCGAAAGTGGG